CCCTCAAAGTTGTCCTCTGACCTCACACACACCACGGCACATACACATACCCCACACCCAGAGAAATTAATTAAAACATAATTTGAAAAAAAAAGTTAAAGGCAAAATAACATTTGTGCCACTCCACATCACTCATTGTCCAGGGGACCCTTTGCTGTGGCCCCAAACTTAAATTCACATTACACAACAAGATACAACCTCTTGGTGCTGGGAGGGGTTCCGATGTGGGATCCGTGCTCAGGGCTTTCTCCATGCTAAGCAAATGCTCCACGACCAGGCTACATCTCTCCAGCCACGAGATGACCACTCTTGATGCCGGGGTCATCCCAGAACATGATTTTTCTCCCAGTAACCCTCTCCAGGAAGGCCTGGAGTACACCATCCAGGTGACAGGCGGAAGCATCAAGGACACGTGAGAGGAAAGACACCTGTCCTGCCTCTCAACCTGGAAACAACGAAATGACTGAACCATGCATACCCAGCAAGCCCCTGGGCACCCATCACAGGTCAAGTGGGCCATGGCATCTGGGCAGAAGTTACTGGGCAGAAAGTCGGAGCTGGTGGCTCATGCCTAGAGCCCCAGCTCTGGGAAACCTGAAGTGAGGAGACGGTCAATCTGAAGCCAACCACGACTACATAGTGAGACCATGATTCAAGAGACTTAACAAGAAAGATCTGGAGGGAGACATTCCAAGTGGGAGGAATCACACACTCTTGAAAGCAAGTTCATTCCGGCATGCTCTTAGCGACAGTGGGAACACCCAGGAAGAAGACTGACCTGACCCCTCACTCCCACCTCCTGTTGACAGCAGAAGGCTCACTGTATCGAATGTCTGGAAAGGCCACTAGGTACCATCCACGGCTGGAGAGGGTGGCGTGGCCAAGCGCTGAGGACTGCCAAGGACACACGCATCACCCACAAAAAAAATTTAAAAATCCATGACCGAAAAGGACTGGGAAATAACCCAGCAAGAATAAACGGAACAAATCTGGGGTCACATGTCCTAGAAAACACAGATGACCCCTGCCCAGTCCCAGGTGGGAGAGCCTGTGTTGTCAAACCTTCAGGGTTTTTTTGGTTTTTTTTTTTTTTTTTTTCATATATTCTGGGGGAACCTAAGGTACGGGGAAATATTACTGATTTTTCTATGACTGCTAGATCCAAATACAAGCCAATAAATCACAAGCGCATGATAATTAGAAACTTTCGCCCCTGCTGCTAGGTAGTATGATTTGCTAGCTTATCTCCTATCCGAACAAGGACAGCAGGTGGGTGGGGTGGCCCCGGGGACAGGCACACAAAGTAGCATTTCCCTGTGAACCTGTAGAAATTACCCACCTCCTGGTTCCATTTTCCCCCACTCCCACAAACCATGCCTGCACAACAGACAGGAAATCGCCGGAGAGTTCAACCCGAACATGCTTTTCCAACTCTTTTACAATCTACGTATCTTACTAAGCAACCCTCCCCTCCCAAACCCACCCTCCCCACGCTCCCCCACTCCCACCCCCGCGCTATTTTTCCGGCAACAACACAGAGGTGAGGTCCATAAGACCACTCGCCAGCTACGTCTCGCAGGAGGGGAATTTTCAGTCAAGTCTGAAATGATTTCGAAAGAAAAAGTAAAAAAGGCAAAGAGAAAAGGGATAGAAAAGGCGGGCGGGGCCTGGAACGCTTGGGTCGGCACAGGTAGACTCACTCAAGGAGGGCGTGGGGGAGCAACTCCACAAGTCACAGGTGGGGCCAGGTCAACCTGGGGGAGGCGGGGAAATGGGCGCAAATCCGAGCTCTCGGTGGGGCGCGCCGGCACCGCAGGCAGAGCCAGCACGCAGAGTTAGAAACGAGAAGGAAAGGGGGGAAAAATTCCCTTTCCTCTCCACGTGCCCTTCCGTAGGCCCTGCTGGGCTTGGGGATCCCAGGTTGGGGGTGGCGAGTCCCTTACCTGCGGAGCCCCGGTGGGCCAGCAGCGCTCCGAGGCACAAGAGGACGCGCAGTCCGGCCATCGCTCCCGAGATCTCCGCCGGGGAAGCTCGGAGCTCGGCGTGCGCGGGGGCTGCTCCTGGGGCTCCCAGGCCCTCGGCGAGGGGCTCCCGGACTGAGATGCTCCAGCCGGCCCCGGTGATCGCCTCCGGGGCGCGCGCCCCGCCCCTGCGCCCAGCCCGCCCGGCTGGCGGAAAACAACAGGCGCGGGCCCCCTCCCGCCTCTCCGGCGACTTCCTCCACCTTGGCTGGGAGGAGGGCCTTGTGCGATGATCCCAGTCCCGCGGGGCCTGGGAGGAGGCGGCCCCGAGCCCCGGCCCCCGCCGGTGCGGGAGCGCTCGCAGGCCTGTGCACTGCGCGCGGGCTGCGGGGCACCGGGCGCCGTCCCAGCCCTGCGGCTCTGTCGCGCTTGTCATCTGGGCTCTCGGGTGTAGGGGCGGGCCAGAGCGCGGCCATCGCTCCGAGCCCTGGGAAAGATGATCTCTCGACCGTCCGGCCAAAAGCCACCACGAGGCTCGGGTTCTCGAATGAACTTGGGTCGAGACCGCACCGGAGGAGTGAGTTTTGTTTTGTTTTTCAGGCGCTCCCACGCTTGTCCCTTTTTGCCATTCCCACCCCCATCCCGGCCGATCCCGGGAGCGCCACATTTCCGGGCTCAGCTTTCTGGCGTCCCATCCTGGCATCCTGGTGGACACCGACACTGCTGGGCCCTCGGGAGGATCTGCCCTTGAAACAGCCCCGGGAGCAACAAGAACGTAGTCACCGCGGCGGAAACTTCAAAGTGGGCTCTTGGAGGTGAACATCCCTTGGCTAACGCCCTCCCAGACTTTCTGTTAGTTTATAAAATACTGGGAGGACTGAGAACAACACTCTGTGTATAACGCCTGCTCTCGGCCCTGGATTCCATCTCCACCACCGCAAAACCAATCAAAGTAAAATATGTGAGAAAAAGCTAAAAATGGAATAAGAGTCACTCGTTCTGTTCTGAAAGGCTTCCGTCTCAAGTTGGGGCTTCTTAGAAAGACCTGCCTTCGAATCGGCAAAAAGAAGGAGTTCACCATGGTGACGCCTGTCTCCTGTTGGTATCCCCCAGGTCACCAACACCCCTACCTGTCACCCAATACATATTAAATAATTGAATGTCTTGTAGTTTGACAAACCGTTTTACTCAGTCTCCCGCGTTGAGGCAATCCTCCTGCCTCAGCAATCCACATGCTGGGATCACAGGGGCACACCGTGCCACCGTGCCTGGCTAAGTTAATTGGTTTTGAGGTTTCTTGAATGCTACAGGCAAGCATTCTGAAGTCAACAACCTGGTCCTCGAAAGCACGGCCCAGCAAGGTTTTGACCAAGAATCTGGAATGTTCTGGAATCTTGGTGGTGCCCAGGGAGGGGAATTTCACAGAGCAGGCTCGGGGAACTTGATAACTCAACCACAAACTTCCTGCAACCCTTGGACCTGAGATACCATTCAGCCCATTTTTACTGGGTGAAGCCTACTACTCCCGGGGTTGCTATGGCAAGCTGGTTGGCAGTCAAACCAGGACTAGATTCCACTCCTGAGCCCAGGTCCTGCCCAGCCAAGTTCCAGTGTTGTCACTTCTCCCAGGACTGCTAAAGCCGAAGGACTGGATGCTTGGACATCGCCCAGAGCAAACAACCAGCCCTTTGGTTTAGGGCCAGGGTTCTGTTGAGAAACACTGGCGTGACATCCACTCCTGAGAATGAAAAATGCTCGGGAAGATGCCAGGAAGATTGGCCAGACGGCTGGGGCTTCCCATGGAGCACCCCAGCAAGGCAAGGGCATCAATGAGAGACATCTAGGGGGCCAGCCTGCTGTAAGAAAAGTGTGCCTCGACTTATCCCAGAGTAATCAAATGCTTTCACACAACCGAGTGTTGTCACAGGACTCTCATTTGAGCTAGGACCCTAAATCCCACAATCAAATACCTACTGTGAAGGGCTGGAAAGATGAGTCAGTGCGAAGAGTACTTACTACAGCTGGACGTGGTGTTGTACACCTTTAATCCCAGTACTTGGGAGGCAAAGGCAGGCGGATCTGTGTGAGTTCGAAACCAGCCTGGTCCACAGTGCAAGTCCAGGACTACAAAAGAAACCCTATCTCAAAAACAGAAGAGTGCTTACAGCTCTTGCAGAGAACCTGAGTTTAGTTCTCAGCACCCAGAGTAGGCTGCCCACAGCTGCTAGTAGCTCCAGCTCCAGGAAGTCTGACACACTCTTCAGGTCTCCCAGGATACCTTCATGCACATGTGTGTAGGAACACACTCATACACACAAGTGAAAGAATAAGAGAGAGAAAAAAAAGTATGAGCTGTGGGGCATGTGCACACCTGTCTAGGCTGCTACCCATTGCTAGTCCTATCTGGTTTGTTTGTCTCCCACCAATCGAGGAATTAAAAGGCGGGGGAAAAAATTCTCACAGAAGGCAGAAATAAGAGTGAAGAAGCAGAGGGAGGCACAGACAGTCCCAACAGAGCAGAGGAAGATGGGGAGCTGGAGGAGGGTTAGAGACACTGAAATTTAACCCCTTGGGAAGGCCTGGGCCTTTTACTTCTGTGGGGAGGTCATAGGGCAGGTCTCCCCTAGTTTGGGGTTGATTAAGCTAAAACAAAGAATGGGCAGCTGACCGGCCCACAGCTTCAGGTTAACATGTTAAGGACCCTCCTTGAACTTTCAGATTAACATCTATAGGACCCTCCTTGAACTTATCTGACCAGTTGTTGTGTAACAGTTTCCTCCCAGACTGAAACATTTCATGCTGTAGGAAAGCTCTTTAAACAAGAAGGTAAACAACTCAAAATAGCTTCAGGAAGTTCCTGAAACTGACCAGACTCACTAGCCACTGCCCCCCCCCCAAAAAAAAAAAAACACCAAAAAATTTAGATGAACCAAACTGCAAAAGAGACTCTTGAGGCCAGACCACTGCCTGACAGAAGCAGAAACCAGGTTTAGACCAACTGAGGCACCTGGGAAGGATTCTGTCTGGTCTGTTAAGCTGCCTGCAGGCTGTGCAGGGTGCTCCATGCTAGGGTGGGCTTTGGTGATGCCAACGAGTCATTTCTACTCCTGTAAGTAACCTAATAAAAACTTATTGTTTCCCCAAATTGGACTTTGTTGATATCCATGCTTTGGTCTTTTATGGGTTCCTATCTGTGTTGAATAGATGTATCTCCCCAGGAAAAGTTTGTAATAACATAAGTAGCCATAAGAGGACCGGGTGACTGGGTGAGGAGGGGGAGGAAGAAAAAAAGTCCTCCAGGCTATCGTCTAAGGTCAAGAGGGAGAAAAAGAAGCAGAGATGTCCTCATCTTCAATATGTATTCGTGACCCTTCTCCCTGCCTGTTGGAGACGGTGTTTAGCTCCTAGTCACTCACATGCATTTGGTTATCCTTTGCTACCCAAAGAGGTAGGTGCCTTCATTCTCACATTTCAGGTGATTGCAAGGGACACTATTAAAGGAGAACTCACCAGAAGGGTCACAGTTTGAGCCCGGGTCTCAGGTCGCTGCATCATTTTTGTTTTTTACGGTGTTTGCTGGGCATAGGTGCCACAGACTTGCATGCTGGGCAGGTCCTCTGCCAGTGAGCAATACCCCTAGCCTGAGGTGCCATGAGGTGTCGTTTAGTGGAAGGAATTCACGGGGGGTTCTGGCTGCTTAATGGAGATTTCATCTGCAGCGGGAGTCTTTGACAACCCAGGCAAGCCTTTGTGCCAATTATTTCTGCCCCACTCCTCCTCCTTCTGTCCCTACAGGCCACTTAAGAGTCTTAGCAACAACCTAGAGGTGTCCCCTGAGGCTGTGGGGGAAGGCCGGTGAGGACCAGCTGGGGTGGAAACCTCCTGCTTGCAGCTGCAGCCGCCTGGATTGTGAAGAAACAAAAAGGCGGATAAACAGGCAAACCTCCAAGGAGAGGGGCTTGCAGGGTGTAGCGGAACCCAGAGTTGTCAAATGGGCCCAGCCTTTTTGGACCAGAGACCAAGATGGTAAAGTTCTGTGGCTCCGAAACCCACAGGAGTTGGAATGAAGATCCATGCCCCCAGAAAGTAAAATTACCCCTCTCAGAGGGACCAGGAAGATGGCCCCCGGTTCCCAGAGAAACAGACCCCCAAGAGGCTGCAGAGAGCTGGGTGACCCAGGTATCCTAACAGGTGAGAGCAGCTGAGCAGGTTCTGGGAGGTAATACATTAACATAGTCCGAGCCCTGGGGCTAGAGAGGTTCCTCTTTGTCTAGATGAGATAACTTTTAAGTAGCTCAAAGAAAAAAAAAAATTAGGACCTACTGGACGGAAGAACAAGAGGGTCCTTGGTTCCCCTCCTGCACTTTCAATAGATACTCACCCATTTGCATATAGCTGTGGCCAAGGCTGCTGTTATTCCACCATGAATTGGGGTCACATGGCTTGACCTGCAGCTTCTTTTGTGGAGGTAGAAGGGAGCGAGTCCGCTGGGGATGTAGCTCAGTATTAGAGCATTTGCTCATTAGTCAGCTGGACTGCGCCCCTAACCATAAAGAGCTGCTTGGCCCAGTCTGGCTGTCCCGCTCCACCTGCAGGAACAATCTGCCCTGTCTGAGACACAACCCGCTCTGCTCCCAGTCAAACCACAAATGAAGAGCCGTCACTTCCCTCTGCTGCCTATTTTTGTGAACCTGCCTCCAAACCCTCTAAATACACTGGACTTTTTGAGGCCTCCTCGCTGTTCCAGGAAAGCCCTCTCTGCCTGGTTTTTCTTGTGCAACCTAAGACCCTTTTAGGGTCCTTGGGCAGAGAGCCTTCCTTCCCCATCCCCTTTCCCTAAAGCCATTCCTCTGGGGGCGAACATATACGCTCCTCTAAGCTCACCACATAGGCTAAACACCCAGTAGTCCAGCCCGAGTCCTCTGCCCTTTTGTGGCCTCTTCCTCCATGACATGTGCAAGTCCCAAGATGATCTTCAGTTCCCAGGCTTTATGGGGCTTTAATGTTGCTTTGTTTTAAACCCAACTTGACCCTAGTCCTCTGGTCTCATCTGAGTCCTCTCCATCCTACCTTCCTCTGCCCCTCCTTCTGACCTCCTCCTCCTGGAGTCTCTGATCGCCAGGCTGAGAGGCCTTTAGCAGTTTGATTGGTGCTACCTACGAACCAAAATTGTGCAGGCCAACGTAAACATCCACGGGGCCTGCCTCAGAGGCGCCCTGATCAGACTCCAGAAGCTGTGGGAGCTTCTCGCTCCTCTAGATCGCAAAATCTTGGAGGTTTTCACATTTAACTGACCCTCTTCTGGGATACCTTTCATCTTCAGCCTAAACCCCTAAATGCAGTTCAGGACCCAACTCCGTCCAACTCGTCCCTCCTGTGGCACTCTGGACCTTGCTTCATGACTCAGAACTAAAACCTTGAGCAGGACGAAAGCCTTCTCTCTATCAACCAGCCTCTGTCTCACCAGCTCTCAAAAACCTTAGAGAATTTTCCGGTCAGTTCAGCGCCTGTCAGGACCCAGTCTTCTCCAGCTGCCGCAGCCTGCCACAACCAGCTCTGAGTACTGCTAAGGATGGGATCTGTGCCCTCGTCTCCTTGAATGGTACCGCTTCCACACCGATGAATCTTAACTGGTTTGTAATGGAGCCCGAAGACACAGAGACCAGACAAAAAATTCAACATGAGCCTCCCTCCCGTTCCGGCTCCTCCCCTGAATCGCTTCTTTCCTCTGTATCATCCACATACTCATATTTTACTGTCTTTTAATATCGGAACTTGCCCTCATACCCAACAAGGTTTCACATTAGTCAGATTAAGGGAGACAAGACCTTGGTCCAACAGTACATAGTTACTCTAAAATCAAAATGATTCCTTGCCTCCAGTGGGCCTTCCAAACCACAGAGGACTAGACTCAGGGACTGCCAAAAGGGAGGCATCTGTGCCTTCCTAGGGTGTTTTCATGCAAACCAATCTGGCCTAGTAAGGGAAACTGCTAAACAGTTATTAGAAAGAATTCAAAGCCAAACAGACAATACTTTCTGGAAGGACACATGGACGTGCTTCGGGACTGTGGGTCACTCCCTTGGTGGCCCCAGTCATTATGACTATAGACCCTTCAGCTGTCTCTCTATGTTCGGCCAACAAAGACTACAAGCTCTCACTGCCCAGAGCATCACAGAATTCTTCATGACCGGAAAACTACCAGCCCCTAACCCTCTTCATCGTGTCCTTTCTACCACTGAGACCATCACCCCCTCCAACTGGAGGAAGGGCCCTGCCCCCAAACTCTGACCCCTCCTTTATTCCTTTTTCCCACCCAGAGTTGGGATGTGTTGGGTATTGGCCTCAGGTCATGAAGAACTGAGTCAGGCTGTGCTAAGGAATAGCCGCTATCGGTAAAGCGCAGTGTAGCCCCAGTCTGACCCATCAACTTTACCT